ATCATAATACTCCAATCTTTCAGCCAATTATGATGTATAATTTTCTATTACCTTTGTATAGGATCCAGTTGTAATTGTCCCCGCTTGTGTTCCAATGCAAACTGCAGGAGGTACGGCTGTTGTTGCCTGCAACCAATCATCGTCTTTCCAACATGGCTGCCCGGTAGACATGCCGCCTGCTTACAGCTACAGCCAGCCCCAATATTCTGGGGATAAGAAAGGAAGCGTAAACATGGCTATTTAAGTCTGTTTTCCATTATCTTGATTTTCACGTGATCCATGTTATTGTTCATTGGTCACATAGACAGCTTAGGCCCTGATATTTTCGATTCATTTCTTTCTACTTAAACGTATATTTTGTATCCTGTAATGTACTAAGCTTTAATTATTATAACAAAGGTAATGATTTTTTGCAAACTTTGTGTTTTGATTCCTAAACGAAAAGACAAGTTCACATCTTTATAATAAAATGTATACCTTTTTTGTAATGAAGTAGCTAATAATCTTTTCCAGTGCCAAAGTCATATAAAATGACGGAAAAGGTAATTCAGTTTTGACCAGGGTCTAACTTCTGATTAGTTAATTTTTATATTCGTTCTTTTCTTAACCATACGCGTATGAAAATGTTTTGGTCCAAAATGGATACTAAAAATATCATGTCGATTGTCGAAGTGGGTAATATTGAATGGACGACTTGCGCTTTAGGCTAATTTTTGATCGAAGTGATAAGAAGAAAATAAATCATCACAGCTAGAAAGAGCGTACTTGAGGTAGTGCAAATGCAAAGTTTGGCTATAAAACTTTGCAAAATGCGGAAAATATAGCCATGCGAGGTTGGCATATTTAGCCATTTTAGTATATCAATATTAAAATAAAGTTAACAAGGAAACGTTCATATCAAGGTGTGTTTTCGGCTTTGGTTTTGGTTTTCGATGAATAATTTTTTCCCAATTTTTTGTGTTTAAAATAATAAAATAAAATTGTTTCTTCGTTTCCTGGCTTTCCTTGGTTTACAAATTAAGCGAAGATGTGGTTTCTTGATCTACTTGTGATGTTTTAAATGTTTTATCAGAAGAGAATCAGATAATCGTTTTTAAATATTTTTGTTTCTTTCCCCTGGAATTTAGTATATAACTAATATACGACTCAAAATTAAAGCTCAAAGCCAGTAAGTTTATCAAAACTTCTGTTATGAAAAGCAAAAATGTTTGCCAACAACATAATTATTTTGATTTCATTATAATTATTGATTTAGTAAAAGTTTTATTGCTATGTTACAGTGAACTAGTTTTATATGTCAGCCTGTTTGATAAAACTTCACAATGAACCACTGGAGTGGCTGTTAAAACCTAACATTTTCTTTGAGAAGATTTATCATGGTTTAATAGTTTTAATTTCTGTACCTTGTACTCACTTTGTAACTGTTAATAAAGGGTGGACTAAATTGAGTACACTGAGACTTATCAGATTCCTCTTACTTATTTCTCCTTTGTTCTGAAATATAGAATTAGAGCAAAATACAATGTATCAATGTATCATTAATATTTATTCAAATAAATGAATACAAACAAGGTCACATTGACTAAGCATTGTTGCTCAAATCAATAACAACCTTTCTTAATTTCCAAACCATTCCCCCCAAGAGCAATGGTGGATCTAGGGGTGTGCAGAAAAAATTACATAGCTTAATATTAAATTCAAATCATCTTAATAACAACAATATTCGTTATAGATTTGAAAAGAATATTAATTTTTACAATAAAATCTGCCAATCCGATTCCGATTAGAGGTTGTAGTAATTTATTCTGCACACCCCTAGATCCGCCAATGCCCAAGAGGGCTAGTTAATGGGGATAGTTCAGCATAATTGAGAGTGAATAAGCCCCAGTGCATTGTGAAAATTCTTTTGAAACATGAAATCACTGTAACTGCAGTAAAAGAAAACCTACACCAGTAACCAGTTGGTAACAGCTATAATTTCTGAAATACAAGTCTCAATATGTCATAAATCATAATGGACAGTATCACAAGCACTACACATTCACACTGTATAAAGGTGCATCAATAAAGGAATACCAAATGATTTTCCGTGCAGGATTGCGTGATCCATGCACGCGGGATGTTGCGAGACTTTCGGAAAGCGTGAAAATACACGAGCCGTAGGCGAGTGTATTTTCACGCTTTCCGAAAGTCGAGCAACATCCCAAGTGCATGGATCACGCAATCCTGCACGGAAAATCATTTGGTAATTGTTTTATAAAATAACTGTAGTGAAACAACGGTTAACTTTATTAAAATTAAATTTCGCGTGCAGGATTGTCTAAAACGCGTGCAGGATTGTCTGATCCTGCACGGCTATTGACCAATCACATTGCGTGTTTCACTATAGTTATTATATAATGGTCAGGAATGCTAAATGAGCAATGCAATAAATCAAGTATGACTTAGCTAAAATTGTATTTTCTGCACATTAAATGTTGATAAATGCATTAGAGTTTAGAAAAGTTCAATTTATCTCCATAAAAGATCCAAACAATTTCTGGCATGCAAAAAGTTAAGACATTTTTAGACTTTCTCTAGAAGTTTAGAAATCAATTGGATTTCATGCAAATTGTAAAAATCAATAATCATGAATCAATCAATGAAACTCGGAAAAATGAAAATAACCGGTGAGTACTGTACTTGACTTTTTTTCCATATTTTTTGAAGTTTTAATACTTATTTGTCCTGATATTGGTAAAAAACAACGTGTACGACTTGCATACATCTTGAAATAATGGTTTTTCGTATTATAGTTATTAAAATGTATCCAAAACGAGGTTTCGCACAAAATAAAAATTTCCCCCAAAATCCAGCGGGCTCAGATTTGATCCTGGTCAGTGGTAACTACCATGGCCATTTAGGACCATGTGACGTCAGCAGAGCTTCTGCGCAGTGCGTAGAAGGCGAAGTCCGCCATGTTTTCGGCTTCAAAAAGACGGCGGCAAAGTTACTGAAATTCGAGGACCACTCCCTCCAGGAATTATAGTATAGCTCAGTGTTCTTTAATAACCCGCGGTGAGCGCTAATTCGCCGTCTTCCGGGTGATTTCGCGCTGATATTTTAGCCGATCAGTGGAAGTTGAAATCTATTCTGCAGTTTTTAGCCATTTATATTTTTAAGCGATTATATTTTTAGCCGATTATTTCGACCGAGCGTGAGACCTGTAGTGTGAAATATCAGAGCGAGGCTTTCCAGTACGGAACGAGCAACGAAAGAGCGAGGCACATGCAAAAAACCTCGATCTGATATTTCAAAGTACAGACCGAACAAGCGAGATCAATAATCTGTTCATTATATGGCTGAACTTTCATGAAACATCCAGGATACTGGTCCATACGGAATATTCGGACCACAGTTCGGATATGGGTTTTTACGGACCGCTCGTCAGCAAATCAAAATAGAGGATTTTGGAAAGCCGCAATCAAAGTGATTTGTCCGAGTTCGTAAACAACAAATATCAGTAATTGGTGAAGATATCGTATTAACGTATGAGGAAATTAACGACTATCTGTCTCGAGGTAAGCTAAATGTCAGAGCTTAATTTTCAGTTTCTTATAGCTTGAATCTTCGTTATGATCGAGAAAGGCTTTTCACATTGATAAGTAATCATAGATTTTCCATATCACACTCAATGAGTACGAGTTCAGTTTTTGAATACAGGGACTCTAATATCTTTGTAATTTTTTGGTAAGCCAAGTATAATTTAGTATAGTTGTGATATTAAAGCTTTTTAAATTTAACGTTATCCATTCAGTTTGAAGGAGAATGCCGTGCCTTCGGCGCAGAATGTTTATGGCAACGATGGTAAGGACACAGTTTCTTTGGAGGAATTGATCGCAATTCTTTCTTGCGAAGGCCTTACATAGTTGAAGACTGTCATTATTAAAGAATGGAGCCATCCAGTGAAAAGAATATTTGTTTGCAAGAATATTAGTACTAATCATGCAACGTTGGGTAATGGGCTTTAAGTTATACGATTACAGAAATTGCATGATAACATGTATGACCCTACAAACTTACGATCAAGACGAAAATTATGAAGAATTTACAATCAGCTGTGAATTTAAACTTCCAATCTTCATTTAAGAAGTATTCATGGGTTATCATGCGATAGGGAATGCATGCATGTTAAAGACGAATAATAATAGAATGTTATGGATCATAATAGTACAATTTCAGTTATGTTTGAAAATTTTGTCAAAGTTCTGAATCTCTAATTGTAGTAGCAATATCGATCGATTATTCGTGTAGCATATTCTAGAAGCATAAGACAATCCTAGTGGGATTAAAAGCCGGAATGCAATAAAAATATTGGAAAAGCAAAAAATTGTACCAAAGTTTGTTGCAGGACTACCTTTCTAGAAGAAACTATGTCGTTTGCGTTAAAAATGATGCCTTTATAAATCCAGATAAAAATTATGCCTTTAGAGATCCAGATGTAGCGTTTTAAAAGTTTGAAAAAATTTTACCGTTACCGTAGAAATATACTTGCAGTTTAGTTTGGGAATTGAACCGCTGTATTGGGAAATGATATACCCATATCGTCTCCACACCATATCTATAGTATGTAAATAGCAATTAGTATGGATATGTTCCATACTATTACATACTATTCCATAATATGGATTTTGAAGAAAAAATTATTGCCGAGGCAGGTTGTTAAAAGGCTTTAGATCATCCATTGTTTTGCTTTATATGCCTCTGCACCGCTTTTCGTTTCAAAATTTGCAGAAATAAGACTTCTATTGGATGGGCATAACTTATCTCCATGCAGGAAACATTTATGGAAAAAAGATTAATGTTATATTTCATAACCAAGAGTTTAGAAAAGTGATGAAAGAATTAATTAACCAAGGTTGAGCGCACCGGCTTTTAAACACTCGGCCGCAGTATAATTATACAAATAACTTTTATTGCTTCCTTCAACCAATCAGCATCCAGTAGTTTCATCATGCCAATAATAGCTTAAATTATAATTCGTGGAACAAATTCAGTTCAACATGGCAATGTCAAGAAGTACCGCTGTTGGCTCGATAATAACTGGTTGTATATTGCTGGGTTTTGCTGTCGTCATTGGGATCTGTGGCGCGATTATAGCAAGCAAATTGTCAGGCCAGATAGCTGCCTCAGCCGGTCTGTGGTCGCTTTATGTAAGTATTTGTATAATGACAGCTAATAAAGGTTTCTTAACCAATTCCATTATCTGAAATACCAAGAATTTTAGCAATCGAGTTTTCCCTCTCATCATTTTCATGAAATTAAAGCAGTCCTAATCTATATACATATAACATAACATAACATTGCATGCCATAACATAAAGCCTTCTCCGGAATTTGTGGAATTAAACAAGAATTGTGAAAGACGCCCATAAACATAGAAACGAGCATGATGTAAGGTAACGCTGTTGTTTTTCTTTTAAACGAACATTAAATATCTGTCGAGGAAGTATCATCGGGACGATGTCTAAAAATCAGAAGCGGTGGCCATACACGCCAAGCAATTCTATTTATTGTGTGCGCTTGTTGTTGTGTTTTGAAATTTGGGCTCTGCAAAGGCCGGAAATTAAATATGTTAGTATCATAGTCGCATTGTTTCAAAGGGAAATCAATTAATCGGCCCTTCAACTTTCAACTATATATAAATGACCATTGAGTTTGTAGTTAATATATCAAATGAAAGAAAGGGTTTCAGAAGTTACAAGAACAATTTCAACGCCAGTAATATTATATAGCTATACGTGTAGCAACTGTCATCACAACGAAATTAATCACGTCGCGGTTGGGCGTCTTTTCTTGTTTTCTTTTAATATGGAATAATATTAATTTAAGACTTGGAAACGGCACTTTAGTTTACTTTTATACACACTATATATATCAATCATTATAACCACTATTATAACCAGCATAACGATAATATTGGGGAGCAGGGCATTTTCGTATAATCATGCACGATCTCCATTACATGCACTAATTCTTTACATTCTGTTAATGTTTTATCGCCCACCTCCCCCGCCATAATTAGCATGTGGTAAAAATACTTTAGTAATGCAGTATACTATTGATATATAGTCGTGTAGAATTCGCCAAAGCACTGCCGTAACACTTACCAGTCACATATTAAAACTATTACATTTCGTCATCATGCACAGAGATCTAGCTCATGCATTAAGCCCGGTTTCCATTAAATCGTAATTTTCGTGAACGAGTCATTATCACCGATGAGAAATACGTAGTGCGATGACAATCGTCCATTACCGATTGATGGTACATTTTGACTGGTCTGGTACCGATAGCTCTGAAAATGTTCATTCAGAATTGATTTTATTCGTTTCTAAAAATGAAAAATTCGCGTCGCGTTAGTGAATCGCCCAGCGTGTGCAGGGCTTTAATGGAACCAGGCATTACCGCAAAGTGCTCACCAACAGTGGACGACAAAAGAAAGAGGACAAATGAAAGTGTGAATTACGTGGTTTTAAAAATTGCACGTTGTCGTAGTTGCTGAAACTGCATTGTGATTTTCACCGCCCAATGTGACGGTGGCTGACCAGTTGATGTGTTGATCAACTTTATTCATAATATTTAATAACGGTTTAAGAGGGAGAGAGGAAACTTAAAGAGGCAAATGAAGTCAATGCTAACTCGTATTTTCCTTGAATGCCATTATATTAAAGTGAATGTATTTTTACCGCTGCAGTGTTGTGACTGTTGTCATTGCCGTTGCCGTTTTAGATCGCCAAACTCTCTATTAAATGGATACCTAGTCGCGGCTACAAGTTGACCAGCCGTTTTAAACTGAATATGCACCCCTTTGGGAAACTTTCTGGTGATATTTTAAAAATGTTAAATATTTTGCCTTTAGTATGCTGTGCCAGGAATACTGACCATTGTTGCCGGCGCAACCAAAAGAGGTGTTGTGGTAAGGGAAAAGTATTTCGTTGCGACTTAGTGGCAACCTGGGGCCGGTTGTATGAAATCCAGGTACAGCAATCCAGCTATTCACAGGATAGTGATTTTTTCAACCGTTCTAAAAATGCTCGAAAAGCGATAACATTTCTTCTTTAGAACCGACAATGATTAGAGAGATCCTCGATTTAGGAATACTAAGATTGAATCAAAGTCACAGCAAACAACGGGCGATTTTATAGCGATTAAAAAAACTACTATCCGATGGATAGCGCTACCCGGCTTTCATACAACCGGCTTAAAATAACTGAGGAAAATTGTGGCCACTGTAATATCATCGGCAATTGTAGCGTACTGTATGTACGCCGGGTCAGTATACGATATATACTGAAGTTTTATCAAGCTGACTGCAAGTAATAAGTGATTAATATTTTAGACTATATCTATAAGTAATTTTACCGGCAACTTTTGTTGCGATTTTAGATACAATTTTTTTTCTTTTGATAGATGTGATCGAATGGGTAACTTAGATATTGTAAAAGAACCCCTTAAATATCATATACTATGAGCATTTCATAACTGTTGACTCGTTTGCATCTGTCGAAAGTGGAAAGTCGGAGAACAAAAATTGCGAAGCGCCCTTAAGTGAGTTAGCGCAGGAGACTATGCATAGTTATGACCATGTGTATAGTTAGTTGTGGTCAATATGCTGTAGTACACTTCACAATCTCAGTCAGAGTCAAAATTTCTATAATAAATATAATGATGATTTTTTATTTTCAAAAATACTAAATGCATTTTAGATGGGCTTCGCCTTGTTCTTCAATATCATCGCAGTGATTGTTTCTCTGGGCGCTTCAGCGGCATTGACCATTTTAACCATTCTCTTAAATGAAGTCAAGGATGGAAATATGCTCTGCACGTACCACGGAGATACCTGCACCTGTTTATATCGCAGCGGATCTGGTGAAGTAGACTCCGTATCGTGTGAGTTTTAAATAATACAATCTTGGTCAGAAAGCTGTAAAACGATTGTTAAAAAATCATATGTTAGTGTTCGTCGTTCATAAATTTGATGTCAAGAAGAAAAAAAATTAAGAGAAAATTCTAGAGAGAAAAATATGTGAATTATCATATTATTGTGGATTCTACTGTGTCTCAATTGAAATCCTTTCACCCTTTTACGACACCACATTTGCTTTTAAAAGTTTCACTTTGACTAGCCGCGTGCAAAACACCCTTATTCCACTCATGAGTCAAGAGGATTTTTTTTATTTTGAGCAATAAACGTGAAAAAAGCTGTAACACTAAAACGAGGCTCCCAGACTATCTAATTTAAAGTGGTTCTAAATCTAAAACGATAGCGTACGCTGTGACTTAATTATCGTAATTAGGTGTAATTATCGAAAGGGTCTATTGTCATTACCAGAAATTTGCGACATGATAATTTGCATGTATACTAATTTGCATTTAACTTTCAGCATAATGGCCTTCAACTTTCACTATAAAATACATATAGTAAATATACAAAACCTAAAAATGCCGTTGACCTAGATCTTGCCCACTGTTTGCCGACCTCTGGATCAATAGAACAGCCGTTTCCCAACGTTTTAACGATCGAATTACTTTCCTTAGGTATTTCTACGTTCGGCCAAATGATTGTGAACAAATGTGTATATAGCCTTCGTATTGTTCAAGTTCCAGACAAGACTGATAATATTTTTTAAAGTGATTGCAGTAAAAATCCGAGCCGTATAGAAAAGTTTATACACAAATACGAAAGATAATATCTTAAACAATTTTTTTGGGTACATTATACGTCAATTCATCAACTACCTGAATCGAAATATTCGAATCAATGTGAGCGATTTTATAAGTTCGTGGACAGCACACGGACAAAACTTTGAGCAATATATTTTTAAATTTGGCCGAATGCAGAAATGCCCAAGCTAAAAAATCCTGTCACCAAAACGTTTCTAAACAGCTGCTCTACCGATCTAGAGGTCGGCAAACAGTGGGCAAGGGCTATAGGACAACGGCATTTTTAGGTTTTGTATATTTACTATATGTATTTAATAGTAAAAGTTGAAGGCCATTATACTGAAAGTTAAATGCAAATTAGTATACATGCAAATTATCATGTCGCAAATTTCTGGTAATGTTGATTTTAGTAATTTTTTTCTAAATAGGTTTTTCTTTACTTTCTACAGGGAACATGCACTGCGATGATTTCGACACAATTCATATCTTAATCATCGTTTGCCTTGTCGCTTTTATCATTCTGACCATCACCACCTTCACCGCGTCGATCTTTGGTTGCCTGGGTACCTGCTGTGCTCCTGCGGTGAGTATGATAGCAGCTTGGTCTTCATGCAGGGGTACTTGTCAGTAGCGTTTCACTTGCCCCCAGGTCGCCTCAAAGGTTGATGACGTAATGCGTTTTTAAACCATTTTCTCGTTATTCAAGCACGTCACGGACCGACTCTGTGAACACGTGCATGGCCCCAAGAAAAAGCTCTTCAGTAATCACTGAAATCTCAATATCTTGTTCTACGCTTTGCCATATTCAGTAGCGGTGCTCTCGCCAAAACTAGATTTTATACTTCTTCCACGAGCACGGAAAAGAGTAGGCTCAATTCCTGCTGGAAGACTCAAAGAGACCCGGTTTGGTCTTCGTTTCTTACTTCTTCGCCAAACATCTTCATAATTATAATACCTTTGCAGGATCCAATTGTTGTGGTCACCGCCGGCGTTCAACCCCCCGGGGGTACAGTTGTTGTTGCCAGCAATCAATCGTCGTCTTTCCAACATGGTTACCCTGGAGGAATGCCGCCTGCTTATGGCCACGGCCAACCCCAAGAGTACGGCGACAAGAAAGGCCTTGTTAATAACATGGTTATTTGAATCTGTTCCTATTATCTTGATTTTCACGCGATTTCATGCGATTGCTTGTTCATCACAATCGCATGCATTGGCGTTTATAGCTGCCCTATATATTCCATTCGTTTCTTTCTGCGTGTTCAAGCATATATTTTGTATCCCACAATGTAACCGTTACTAAATAAAACACTCAGATAATGATTTGGCAATCTTTCTGTTTTTATTCCTGATCGAACAGCCATTGTGATACCTTCTTTATAATATGTATCTACCTCTTTTATAACGAAGTGATAATGAAAAAAGTTCGATAATCGTAATGGGAAACGGCAGTCAATTTTTTTCTTTTCATTGGAGAAAACGACTTAATTAGGGCTGATTTGGGAATCCAATATGGAGTCGCCTCTAAGAAAAGAGAGGGGAATCATTAAAATCTGCTTTGTATTTAACCCACAATTGAGAAGTCGTGTTTGTCCACGTCCAAAAGATCATCAATTTTATTGATCTTTAATCACTGAAAATTTGAGAGTAATTCGAGATGCCCAAGTATGTTCCCGAGAAAGAATATTTGATGATGGTCATCGAATGGGAAAGTGTACATATTCCTAGCATATTACTGATATCAGGTACCTTACAGTTTACGTTTCTGCTCGTTGCGCGCGGGTATAGGCAAATGTGCATGTCATATCTCGCCCGTAAATGCTCTAGCTTTATTAACATCGGATTTTAGAGTCGTGAAGAGACATGTAAATGTGTTACGTAACGCGATGAAATTCATCATTTTAGCAAAGAGATTTTTGATCGCCATTACTTTCTTTTATAATATAACATTTATAGTACACGCGTGCTGATTGGTCGAGAAGCGTGTTTGTATGTAAAGAAACACGGGACTTTTCCCCCCGAAATTGAAAAGCGAAGTAATGTAATGAAAACTTGTAATTGACTGAATTATAATATTTGTACAAAGTCTTTTTCTTGAGTTATATATTATAAAAGAAATAGAAAACATTTTCCCTATAGTTATAGGAAGAACGTGGGAGTTTGGGAGAATTCGAAAAACTCGCCCCACGAGCAGGTTTTCCCACTGATTATTTCTTGTTCTCCCAAACTGCCAAGCGTGTTTCTATAACTGTATCACGGAAGTCAGAAACACAGAAATTGTTTTAATTAGCTGTTGCTTTGATAAATCCAAAATATAAATTTCAATATTGATACGTATTCGGACTAAGTGGCTTCGCCAGCATTGATAAGTGGGTTTTTTATACTATTAACAATTACATTCATATTTTATAACCTGTTAGTTTTTAATCAGGCTGTATCTGTACATTGTGCATGTAGTTGGTTGATAAAGTAAAAACAATCGCCATTATTCTCGTTCTCGAATTGAGCGACACTGATCTGAATAATGAACTGAAAACTGAACCGTATGAGCCCACACACCTCACCGCTTACATTTCTGGCCAAGTGGGTGTATGACATCATCACCAATGCTGTCAAGCGTTAAAAAATGCTAGTTTGAATTCGTTGAACAGCACGCTTCAAAGCAGGAAATCAGATTTATCACACCTAGTTTTTTGCAGAAAGTTTCAGCAATATTTTTCAACATGGTAATGTCAAGATGTACCGCTGTTGGCTCGATAGTCACTGGTTGTATTATGTTGGGTTTTGCCATCATCACTGTGATCTGTGGCGCAGTCTCAGCGAGCAAGTTGTCAGGGGAAATAGCTGCCACGGCTGGTTTGTGGTCGCTTTATGTAAGTATTTGACAACTAACCATTCTTAATCGCGACTTTGCTTAAATTCCGTCGCGCCTACAGACAGAATTTGCAAATTTTGTTCACAAAATCAGCGCAAGGTTCCTTCTAGGGTAAAAATATGGGTGAGAAATAATCAGATTGCGCTCTCGGAATCGTCTTTAATATGACGATCACCCTTCGTTCAGCTGGTGAAAGGCAATACAGCTAATTCAATCAGGGTTGTGACCGGTTGTCCTTTCAAAAGCTTACACTCTGAGCGCACCTTCTAATCCCTTAAAAACAGAAAATTGCCTTTGCAGTATGTTTTGCATCGCGAGGCTTCTATATGTCTTCGATATTTTAGCAATGCCAAATTTCCAAGTGTGACAAGCCTAAATTAACAAAAAACCATGATCCCTTGAGCAGTCAGAGTTTAACGTTCTTGGTTTTGGAAGGACAACGTTAATTGAATCAGCTGTAATATATAATCGATATATCTATAAACTATCTATAAACCCGGAAGAAAACCTCTGAACGTTTAAACCCAAAGGCCATCATCATGAAAATAAGACTACATGCCAAAATGGTTTTGAAGTTGAAGCTAAATTGAAACATATTGAGCATACTTTCCCATAAATTGTGTGGAAATGGCGTCTAATCGATAAACTAAATGATTTTGCCTTATAAAGTGTGAGGTTATAACACACTAATTTTCCCGACGACGGTTCAGAGATTTTCAAGTACAGTTGATGCAATAATAATGAAATGTTTACTCAATTTCATGTATAAATATTCGTATAATTATAACAAATCTACGCCAATACACATGCACACACGAGAATTATGAGAATTTTTATCAGAAGCAGTTCGAAACGACCTTGAAACGTAGTCGCATGTCATGCAGGCAGACTTTTCCTTTTAGCATTTTTGTCGGTTGTTTTGATGTGTTTTGTGCACAATAGCATCGATAATTGTATAGTGTAATAGATAAGAAATATATCACGTCTAGTGCTTCATATAACGAGATTTTCAGTTCTTAATAATTATATAAGTTAATTATGTATAGCGGTAGTTTCAGAAACTTCATGAACATTTTTTTGTAACAAAGTGCAAGCAATTTTAAGAGCTGATAAAACCACGAACTTTATTCACGACACGGTCGGCGACTTTTATTCAATAACAGTTGTTGCTTATAAGTAATTGATTTAAAATTTAACATCTGCATGACTAGCAGGGCTGGTATAGATAGCTGCATATTTGAGGCCAAACAACATCACACTAGTTCTTTGTTTCCTTTGTCTTTGCCTTTTGTTTTCTTTGTTTTCTTGATAGCACTAATGACAATTTAGCCTCAAATATTTGCATATCGACCAGCTGAGTGACTGATGGTTTACTTATAGGAAGGTCAACTTGTAAGTTCCAAAGTATTGAAAAGGCGGCGATAGCTCAATTTAATAACTTTGCATCACTGAGTGTGATACGACGACTAAAATGGATAAAAACAGTTTAAAACACTTCTCGACGTTTCGATAAGCATGCATAAACATATAATTAAGCATCTGAGCTACGTATTCTTTGTACAATTGCGTCGAAAACGGATTCATTAAATAGACAAACTTCCCAGATAGATTAGCATCAAATGTAGTAAAACGACTGCCTAAAATAGCGGGCAAAAACACTTCTCAAGTTTCCTATAAGACACAGTATAACCTACTACGGAAGAAAAATGAGGAAAAAAAAACTCGAGAAAAATGTCGCCTATATTGGAAACCGCCTAAATGATAAGTTTAGGTAGATAGTTCTGTAGTGTTCATCTGAATGAAGACTTCGCAGAAAGTCATTCGTTTGCCGTCTTGCTACGGATGAATTATTCATGCCGGCACGATTGCATGAAGAATATCCATGCTTTAATGGCAACGAACAACTCTCATCAACTATAGCCCGATAAGAAAAAACCTCCTTGAAAACTGATTACATTCCAGATTCCACCATGCATATAAAGGCGTCCTAAATTTGCGGAACATTACCAGCATGTTGACAAATTGCTGAAAATTTTCTCGCGCGAATTTGGGCTGCTATGTTTCCACCGACGATAACAATGTGGCACTCGATATAAAATATTCTCGTTTTAGTACGCTGTGCCAGGAATCTCTCACTATTGTTGCTAGAGCCATAATAACCCTTTGCTGCTTTGCTTACTGTAAAAACTATACAACCTTTTGTTGCACGTCCACGATCCTTTATACTAGTTGGAAAGTGTCATGATTTTCTAATGTAACCAATCCTAAATAATAAGGTTTTTTTTCAAAACTATCCGTATCTCTCAAACTCAAAATTACTATCTAGAATATTTTTCTGTCTTTTCTTCTTTGATTGTTCAAATAAACTTTAAAGATTGCCTATGTTATCTAGTCATATATACTTATTTTATCTTCGAATAGTTGTGACATAGTCCTTCAACTTCACAGGTGGTCTTCTTTGTCGATTTCATCTTCTTAACGATTCGGTTATTTCTTCTTTACTAGGATTAACTATGGACTAGGGCTCGGTGTTAGTGCTTCATTTTCTTTCTTTTCTTGGTTTCTTTCAGGATTCAGTAACTCTGGTCGTATGACTTTGAAATGAGATGAGTTTCGCGTCACGGTTTTGAAATCATTAGAGACTGTCACCATAGTTCCTTTCTTCTCTTTGATAACAAATGGGTTTGGGTCGAATGGCGTACTCAATTTATTTTGCTTAGGTTGCTTCATCAGGACTTCCATTCCAGGGTTGATCAAACTTTCTCTTGCACGTGATAAGTTGTCAACATACAACTTCATCTTCTTGCTAATTCAACCAGTGTTGTGCATGACCGGTTGTCTTTTCAAAATCTTAAACTCTGAGCGCACCTTTTAATCCACCAAACTCTGTATTAAATGGTCGGGTTCCATGCAGGGATACCTACTCGCGGGTACAAGTTCGATGATCAGCCGTTTTAAACGGAATATGCATCCCTTTGAGAAACTTTCTGGTGAAATTAAACGTTAATTATTTTGCGTTTAGTATGCTGTGCCAGGAATACTGACCATTGTTGCCGGCGCAACCAAAAGAAGTGTTGTGGTAAGAGAAAAATATATCGTTTCGGCTTAGTGGCCGGTGGGCCTGGGGCCGGTTGTATGAAATCTGCGGATACCGCTATCCAGCTATCCACAGGATAGTGACTTTTTCAGCCGTTCTAAAAGTGCTCGAAAAGCGATTAAATTTCTTCTTTAGAACCAAAAAATGATTAAAGAGATCCTCGATTTCGGAATACTAAGAATTAATCAAAATTATAGCAAAAAACGGGCGATTTTAAAGCAATTGAAAAACATTATTCGGTGGATAGCGCTATCCGGCTTTCATACAACCGGCCCGAGGTCTTTACGCAGCTTAGAATAAAGGAAAATTGTGGCCACTGTTACATCATCGGTAATTGTGGCATATTGTATACACGCCGGGTCAGTATACGATATATACTGATCACCTTGTCAAGATGTTTTATTAAGCTGACTGCTAAGTATTTAAAGATTTAGTAATTTCAACTGCTGTCATTTTTAGATACAATATTTTTCTTTTGATAGATGTGATCAATTGGACAAGTTAGATTGTTAACATAGATAAGGGATGTTGTAAAAGAACTCCTTAAATATACTATGAGCATTTCAGAACTGTTCACTCGTTTGCATCTGTCGAAAGTGGAATTTCGGGAAACAAAAAATGGGAACCACCTTTAATTAAGCGAGTTAGCGCAGGAGACTATGCATAATTATGACCATGTGTAATTTGGGAAGTGCTGTAGTACACTTCCCAAATTCAGTCAGAGTCGAAATTTCTATAATAAATATAATAAGGATATTTTTTTATTTTCAAAATACTAAATGCATTTTAGATGGGCTTCGCCTTGTTCTTCAATATCATCGCAGTGATTGTTTCTCTGGGCGCTTCAGTGGCATTGACCATTTTAACCATTCTGTTAAATGAAGTCAAGGATGAAAACTTGGTCTGCGTGAGCCATGGAGATACCTGCACCTGTTCAGACTCCGTATCGTGTGAGTTTTAAATCTTACAATCTTAGTCAGAAACCTGTAGGACGATTGTTAAAAAATCATATATTAGTGCATGTTCGTCGTCTCATTAAATTTTGGTGACTAACCGACTTGAAGAAGAAATGATTCCACTTCGACCGCGAAAAAGAGCCTCCGAGAGAGTTCGCAGCGCTAATTAAGGGAAAATTCTAGAGAGAAAAATAGGTGAATTATCAAATCATTTAATGGGTTCCACTGTGTCTCACTTGAAATCCCTCCACCCTTTCAGTAATTACGACACCACATTACCTTTTAAATTTAAAGCCAGCTTAGATGAAATGGATTTCAAGTTTCACTTTCACTAGCCACGCGCAAAACACCCTTCTTCGACACATGAATCAAAAGGATTTTTTTGTTTTGACCAATAAATGTGGAAACAAGCTATAACACTAAACGAAGCTCCCAAACCATCTCATTCAAGGTGGTTCTAAATCTAAAACGATAACGCTGTAACTTAATTATCGTAATTATGTGTAATTATCGAAAGGGTCTATTGTTGATTTCAGTAAATTGTTTCTAAATAGCTTTTCTTTACTTTCCACAGGGAACATGCACTGCGAAGATTTCGATACAATTCATATCTTAACTATCGTTTGCCTTGTCTTTTTCATCATTCTGACTATCACCACCTTCACCGCGTCGATCTTTGGTTGCCTGGGTACCTGCTGTGCTCCCACGGTGAGTATCAGAGCAGCTTGGTCTTCATGCAGGGGTACTTCTCAGTTGCGTTTCACTGTGCGCGTGCAAAATTCTACCCAGGATTCTTTTCACACTTCTGTTGCCCCAAGGTCACCTCGAAGGTTGATGACGTAATGCGTTTTCAAACACGTCACGGACCGACTCTGTGAACACGTGCATAGCCCCAAGAAAAAGCTCTTCAGTAATCACTGTAATCTCAATATCTTGTTCTACGCTTTGCCATATTCAGTAGCGGTGCTCTCACCAAAACTAGATTTTATACTTCTTCCACGAGCACGGAAAAGAGTAGGCTTAATTCTTGCTGGAAGACTCAAAGAGACCCGGTTTGGTCTTCGTTTCTTACTTCTTAGCCAACCATCTTCATAATTATAATACCTTTGCAGGATCCAATTGTTGTGGTCACCGCCGGCGATCAACCCCCCGGGGGTACAGTTGTTGTTGCCAGTAATCAATCGTCGTCTTTCCAACATGGTTACCCTGGAGGAATGCCGCCTGCTTATGGCTACGGCCAACCCCAAGAATACGGGGACAAGAAAGGCCTCGTTAATAACATGGTTATTTGAATCTGTTCCTATTATCTTGATTTTCACGCGATTTCACGCAATTACTTGTTCATCACAATCACATGCACTGGCGTTTAAAGCTGCCCTATATATTCCATTCGTTTCTTTCTGCGTGTTCAAGCATATATTTTGTATCCCACAATGTAACCGTTACTAAATATAACACTCAAGTAATGATTTGGCAATCTTTCTGTTTTAATTTGTTTTTATTTCTGTTATTATTACTCTTTTATAACGAAGTAATAATCAATAAAGTTCGATAATCGTACTAAACTGTTATAGTTTTATCCGTTTAATGGGAAACGGTGGTCATTTTTTTCTTTTCATTTGAGAAACGACTTAACGCTAATTTGGGAATCCAATTGAGGGTAATTCGAGATGCCCAAGTATGTTCCCGAGAAAGAATATATTATGATGGTCATCGAGTGGGGGAAAGTGTACTTATTCCTAACACATTAATGATATTAGGTACCTTACAGTTTACTTTTCTGCTCGTTGCGCGCGGGTATCGGCAAATGTGCATGTCATATCTCGCTCGTAAATGCTCTAGCTTTATTATATCATCGCATTTTAGAATCGTGAAAAGAATGTAAATGTGTTACGTAACTCGATGAAGTTCATCATTTCAGCTGAGAAATTTTTGATCGCCATTATTTTCTTTTATAATATATAGGACGTCATATGCAAATAAGTTGTAGAAACCCTGACAGAAACACGGAAATTGTTTTAATTAGCTTTTGCTGTATGATACAATTCAAAACTTAAAACATAAAAATTCAAGAATATCAGTATATACGTATTCGAAGTAAGCGGCGTCGCCAACATTTATAAGTGGGTTTTTTTATACTATTGACTATATAATTATTAGATTGGTTGTAAAAACAATCTCCATACTGTATTTCTCGAATTGAGCAACACTAATCTAAATAATGAACTGAAAACTGAACCGTATGAGCCAACACACTTCACCGCTTACATATCTGGCCATGTGTGGTGTATGACATCATCATCGTCGTTAAATACTGTCAAGGGTTAAGATATGCTAGTTGGAATTCGTTGAACAGCACGCCTCAAAGCAGGAAGTCAGATTTATCACAACTAGTTTTTTGCACAAAGTTTCAGCGGTAATGTCAAGACGTACCGCTGTTAGCTCGATAGTCACTGGTTGTATTATGCTGGGTTTTGCCATCATCACTGTGATCTGTGGCGCAATCTCAGTCAGCAAGTTGTCCGGCAGGCGAAATAGCTGCCACGGCTGGTTTGTGGTCGCTTTATGTAAGTATTTGACAACTAAACGTTCTTAGAAAATTGTCATAATTTATTGTGCTCATGGAACCTTGACGAACCTGTGTCAAGTGTGTTTAGCTGGTGGCAGGACAATATATAGTCGATCAATCTATAAACAATCTAAACCATATGTCTAAATACAGAAGAGAACTTCTCAAAGTGTAAACCCGAAGGCCATCGTCATCAAAATTAGACTATATTTGTACACAATTCAGGTGTTCTCATGTTCGCTTTCGCCAAAACGGTTTCCAACACTGTCAGTTTATAATAGAAGTTGAATCTATAATTTAGCATATTGAGCATATTTTTCCGTGAGTCGTGTGAAAAGAAAAAATGATTTTCCCTTATACTGTTAGCGGTTTAGCACATGGATCTCCCAACGACGGTCCAAAGATTTTCAAGTATATAGTCTATGTTTGTCCGTTGATGATGATTTATCACTAACTATTTCGATAAACACATGAATTACTTCAAGTACGCCGCATTGTTATCGAGCAATAAATTTGCTGCATTTGCACAATGCTAATTAGGATGAAACATTATATAAAGAATACTAATGAAAGTGACAAATTATGTAATGTGCCATTAGTTTCACCGTTAGCTGTGAGTCAATCGAAAACCAGGACCTATTCGATTAAATTTTGGTATGGTAGTTAACATATGTATAGTACAATTTACATCTCTACCGACGATAACCACTACAATGAAGATGACCTATTTCAATTAGAATCTTCTTCACGGTAATGATGACTGATGTGACATATAATTTCCGCCTGGTTGGGTATGATACTTTTACCATTCGACGTCTGCCGATAAATCCGTGCACCAGCAGGTAATATAAATTATTTATTCAGTGTATTTAAATACCGTCAAACGTTAAATTGATGTTTGTTTCATCCTGATTTTTGATGTGGTTTTAACTGTTAAAAAATTTGCTCGAAACGAGCGACGTTGCGTAAAATTTGACTCGCGTGAATGTGTTGTTGTTTAAAAACTCCAAGGAGAAACTTAGACAGCAGGGAAAAGTACTTAAAAATACTTTTTAAATATTTCAAAACCTTTGAAATGTGAAAGCTCGGTATCTCAAAGAGTAACTGTTTTTATTTTTCCCTCCAGACAACTTCAGTGTTTTGGTTTGTGAAACTGAAGAACGTTTGATCAAACATGTGTTGTTTCATGATCGTCAAGTGTGCAAACATTTTTGCTTCTCGAGCGGCTACAATTATTAAACCGATCGTTGAAATATTCGGGCAAACACAAAAACACAACGTGTTCCTCACTACAAAAATAATTTGATGCAGTACTCACCTTCTGATTGTGAACTACTCAAAAAATTGTACCTTACAACGGTGGATCGAACTCCTTCCCAGCTTCAATGACTCTGTACGCTATCTTGAATATTTTAAATGCAGTCGCTCGTAGAACCCCCAAGACGCAGTAGAAACACGAAAAAAGTTGTACAGATTTAGTAAAAACTTCAATCGAAGCAAAAATGACAAAAGTTTTCTTGCAATTTTCTTGTGTTTAGCACAATTCCAGTTTCGAAAAATACAATCGCCATATTGAAAAATTCTGCTATGTAATTAACTACCGTGATGCTTTGCGATTCTGCAATTGGCTCATTCAATTCGTCGAACAACAAGGTTGCGAAGCAGGAAGTCAGAGTTGATAACACCTGGTTTTTGAACAAAGTTTCAGCAGTATTTTTCAACATGGTAATGTCAAAACGTACCGCTGTTGGCTCGATAGTCTCTGGTTGTATTATCCTGGGTTTTGCTCTCATCACTGTGATCTGTGGTGCAATCTCAGCGAGAAAGTTGTCAGGCGAAAGAGCTGCCACGGCTGGTTTATGGTCGCTTTATGTAAGTATTTGACAACTAACCATTCTTCATCACGACTTTATTTAAATTCCGTCGCGCCTACAGGCAGAATTTGCAAATTTTGTTCACAAAATCAGCCCAAGATTCCTTCTAGGATAAAAATATGGCTGAGAAATAATCAGATTGCGCTCTCGGAATCGTCTTAAATATGACGATCACCCTTCGTTTAGCTGGTGAAAGGCGACACAGTTATACAGCTAATTCAATCAGGGTTGTGACCGGTTTTCCTTTCAAAAACTTAAACTCTGAGCGCACTTTTTAATCCCTTAAAATCAGAAAATTGCCTTTGCAGTATGTTTTGCATCGTGAGGCTTGTATAATTATGTCTTCGATATTTTTGCAATGCCAAATTTCCAAGTTTGACCAGAAGGATGGAAACTCTTGTAATAATATAAACATACATACGAATTTCACTCGCAAAATTTCATATCAAAACAACGAGAATTCCTCAAATAAATTATCACAAATACATTTTAGATACTCGAACAACAAATATTCCATTAAAAATATTTAAAAAAACAAATGAAAATGCACAAAAAATGTACAAAATTTTTGTCTATTTGCCGAAAAATGTCGTGGGACCATGCGGTACATAAAATTCGGTTTGAGGAACAAACCTGATTAATCCAAGAAAATAAACAAACGACGTGTGCTCGTCAAGCATCCGGGGGGGAAAGGTAAAGTTTAAGGGAAGTTGAAAAACCGGTTTAACCTTTGCTGTCTTCTTCAAATTCTAGCCCATTTGCGTTTAAAACGTTCGCATAAAAATGGTATCTATAAACTTTCAACAGGTATTTAAACAAACTTTAAATTTTTGTGTCTTCAAATTTTTTTTCAACTTGCCTTAAACTTTAACTGTACCCCCCCGGATGCTTGACAAGCACACGTCGTCTGTTTATTTTTCTGACCAAATAATTATCTGAGCTATGTGTTCTTGGTATAATTGCTTGCATGGAAAACGGATTCGTTAAATAGGGAAACTTCCCAGATAGCTTCGCATCAAATTTAGTATAACGACTGCCTAAAATAGCGCGCAGGCAAAAGCACTTCTCAAGTTTCCTATAAGACACAGTATAACCTGCTACGGAAGAAAAATGAGGAAAAAAACTCGAGAAAAATGTCGCCTATTGGAAACCGCCTAAATGATGAATTTAGGTAGATAGTTCTGTCGTGTACATCTGAATGAAGACTTCGAAAAAAGTCATTCGTTTGCGGTCTTGCTACGGATGAATTATTCACGGCACGATTGCATGAAGAATATCCATGCTTTGATGGCAACGAACAACTCTCATCAACTATAGCCGGATAAGAAAAAACCTCCTTAAAAACTGATTACATTCCAGATTCCACCATGCAGATATAGGCGTCCTAAATTTGCGGAACATTACCAGCATGTTGACAAATTGCTAAAAAATTTCTTGCGTTCAAATTATCACGCAAATTTGGGCTGCCTATGTTTCCACCGACGATAATAATGTGGCACTCGATATAGCTAAAATATTCTCGTTTTAGTACGCTGTGCCAGGAATACTCACTATGGTTGCTGGAGCCATAATAACCCTTTGCTGTTTTGCTTACTTTAAAAACTATGCAACCTTTTGTTGCACGTTATAACGATCCTTTATACTAGTTGGAAAGTGTCATGATTTTCTAAGTTAACCAATCCTAAATAATAAGTTTTTTTTCAAAACTATTCGTAACTCTCTCGTCTTTTCTTCTTTGATTGTTCAAATAAACTATATAGATTGCCTATGTTATCTAGTCATATATACTTATTTTATCTTCGAATAGTTGTGACATAGTCCTTCAACTTACAGGTGGTCTTCGTTTTCGATTTGATCTTCTTAACGATTCGGTTATTTCTTCTTGACTAGGATTAACTATGGATGACAGGCTTTGAGTTAGTGCTTCATTTTCTTGCTTTTCCTGGTTTCTTTCAGAATTCAGTAACTCTGGTGGTATGACTTTGAAATGGGACAAGTTTCGCGTCACGGTTTTGAAATCATTAGAGACTGTCACCATAGTTCCTTTCTTCTCTTTGATAACAAATGGATTTGGGTCGAATGGCGTACTCAATTTATTTTGCTTAAGTTGCTTCATCAGGACTACCATTCCAGGGTTGATCAAACTTTCTCTTGCACGTGATAAGTTGTCAGCATACAACTTCATCTTCTTGCTAATTCAATCAGGGTTGTGACCGGTTGTCTTTTCAAAACCTTAGACTCTGAGCGCACCATTTAATCCCTTAATATCAGAAAATTGCCTTTGCAATAAAAATTATGTTTTCCATCCGAAGAAAGGAAACTTAAAGAGGCAAATCAGACAATGCTAACTCGTGTTTTGTCGAATGCCACATTATATACATTTTTATACCGCTACAGTGTTGCCGTTGCCGTTTTAGATCGCCAAACTCTGTATTAAATGGTCGGGGTCCAGGGATACCTAGTCGTGTACAAGTTTGGTGACCAGACGTTATAAACGGAATGTGCACCCCTTTGAGAAACTTTCTGGTGACATTAAACGTTAAATATTTTGCCTTTAGTATGCTGTGCCAGGAACACTGACCATTGTTGCCGGTGCAACCAAAAGAGGTGTTGTGGTAAGGGAAAAATATATCGTTTCGGCTTAGTGGCAACCTGGGGCCGGTTGTATGAAATCTGGGCACCGCTATGCACAGAATTGTGATTTTTTCAACCGTTCTAAAAATGCTCGAAAAGCGATAAAATTTCTTCTTTAGAACCAACAATGATTAAAGAGATACTCGATTTAGGAATACTAAGAATTAATCAAAATTATAGCAAAAAACAGGCGATTTTAAAGCGATTAAAAAACATTATCCGGTGAATAGCGCAATCCAGCTTTCATGCAACCGACCCGAGCTCTTTACCCAGCTTAAAATAAAGGAAAATTGTGGCCACTGTTACATCATCGGTAATTGTGGCGTTTTGTATATACGCTGGGTCAGTATACGATATATACTGATCACCTTGTCAAGTTGTTTTATCAAGCTGACTGCTAAGTATTTAGTGATTTTAGACGACTGTATAAGTAATTTCACCGGCAACTTTTGCTGCAATTTTAGACACAATTTTTTTCTTTTAATAGATGTGATCAATTGAACAAGTTAGATTGTTAACATAGATAAGGGATGTTGTAAAAGAACTCCTTAAATATACTATGAGGATTTCATAACTGCTCACTCGTTTGCATCTGTCGAAAGTGGAATGTGCATGGGAGAACAAAAATTGAGAACCGCCTTTAATTAAGCGAGTTCAGGAGACCAGGCATAGTCATGACCATGTGTATAGTTAGTTGTGGTCAATATGCTGTAGTACACTTCACAATTTCAGTCAGAGACAAAATTTCTATAATAAATATAATAAGGACATTTTTTTATTAAATACTAAATGCATTTTAGATGGGCTTCGCCTTGTTCTTCAACATCATCGCAGTGATTGTTTCTTTGGGCGCTTCTGCGGCATTGACCATTTTAACCATTCTGTTAAATGAAGTCAAGGAGAAAAATATGGTCTGCGTGAACGACGGAGATATCTGCACCTGTTCATATCGTAGCGGATCTGATGAAGCAGACTCCGTATCGTGTGAGTTTTAAATCATACAATCTTAGTCCGAAACATGTAGGATGATTGTTAAAAAATCATATGTTAGTGCATGTTCGTCGTCTCATTAAATTTTGGTGACTATATAACAGACTTGAAGGCGACACATGAATCAAGAGAATTTTTTTTGTTTTGACCAATATATGTGGAAACAAGCTTTAACACTAAAACGAGGCTCCCAGACCATCTCATTTTAAGGTGGTTCTACATCTAAAACGATAACGCTGTGACTTAATTATCGTAATTAAGTGTAATTATCGAAAGAGTCTGTTGTTGATTTCAGTAAATTGTTTCTAAATAGCTTTTGTTTACTTTCCACAGGGAACATGCACTGCGAAGATTTCGATACAATTCATATCTTAATCATCGTCTGTCTTGTCTTTTTCATCATTCTGACTATCACCACCTTCACCGCGTCGATCTTTGGTTGCCTGGGTACCTGCTGTGCTCCTGCGGTGAGTATCAGAGCAGCTCAGTGGTCTTCATGCAGGGGTACTTAATTCTCAGTTGCATTTCACTGTGTTCGTGCAAAATTCTATCCAGGATACTTTTCACACTTCAGTGTTCCCCCCAGGTCACCTCGACGGTTGTAATGCGTAAAGCGTTTTGAAACCGTTTGCGTTTTTTTTTCTCGTTTTTCAAACACGTCACGGACCAAATCTGTGAACACGTGCATGGCTACAATAAAAAACTTTTCTGTAATCACTGATATCTCAATATCTTGTCCTACGCTTTGCCATATTCAGTAGCGGTGCTCTCACCAAAACTAGATTTTATACTTCTTCCACGAGCTCGTTCGGCATCTCGCAAAAGAGTAGGCTCAACTCCTTCTGGAAGACTCATTGAGACCAGGTTTGGTCTTCGTTTCTTACATCTTAGCCAACCATGTTCATATAATACCTTTGCAGGATCCAGTTGTTGTGGTCACCGCCAGCGTTCAACCCTCCGGGGGTACAGTTGTTGTTGCCAGCAATCAATCATCGTCTTTACAACATGGTTACCCTGGAGAAATGCCGCCTGCTTATGGCTACGGTCAACCCCAAGAATACGGGGAGAAGAAAGGCCTCCTTAAAAACATGGTTATTTAAATCTGTACGTTCCTATTATTTTGGTTTTCACGCGATTTCATGCGATTGCTTGTTCATCACAATCACATGCATTGGCGTTTATAGCTACCCTATATACTCGATTCGTTTTTTTCTGCGTGTTCAAGCATATATTATTTTGTATCCCACAATGTAACCGTTACTAAATATAACACTCAGGTAATGATTTGGCAATCTTTCTGTTTTTATTCCTGATCTAAAAACCATTATAATAACTTCTTTATAATATGTATCTACCACATGACATCATCATTGTCGTTAAATACTGTCAAGCGTTAAAATACCGTATGCTAGTTTGATTTCGTTGAACAGCACGCTTCGAAGCAGGAAGTTAGATTTATCACAACTAGCATTTTGCACAAAGTTTCAGCGGTATTTTTCAACATGGTAATGTCAAGACGTACCGCTGTTAGCTCGATAGTCACTGGTTGTATTATGCTGGGTTTTGCCATCATCACTGTGATCTGTGGCGCAATCACAGTCAGCAATCACAGTTGTCAGGCGAAATAACTGCCACGGACGGACTGTGGTCACTTTATGTAAGTATTTGACAACTAAACGTTCTTAGAAAATTGTCATATTGTGCTCATGGAACCTTGACGAACCTGTGTTTAGCTGGTGACAGGACAATATACTGTATAGTCGATCAATCTATAAACCGTCTAAACACAGAAGAAAACTTCTCAAAGTTTAAACCCGAAGGCCATCGTCATTAAAATTAGACTATATAGCTACGTGTACACAATTCAAGTGTTCTCATGTTCGCTTTCGTCAAAACGGTTTCGAACACTGTTAGTTTATAATAGAAGTTGAATCTATAATTTAGCATATTGAGCATATTTTTCCATGAGTCATGTGAAAAGAAAAAATGATTTTCCCTTAGTGTGAGCGGTTTAGCGCATTAATCTCCCAACGATTGTCCAAAGATTTTATAAGTATATAGGTTGCGGTCACACTAGCGCTTCTGCTTGCGGATTAGCAAAGGATTAGCGTGCTTGCTTCTGACGTCATTCCAGCATCGAGAAGTGCGTTTTTTATACTATTGACTATTACATTCATATTTTATAACCTGTTAGTTTTTGATCAGGCTGTATCTGTAGATTGTGTAGTTGGTTGATAAAGTAAAAACAATCGCCATTATTCTCGTTCTTGAATTGAGCGACACTGATCTGAATAATGAACTGAAAACTGAACCGTATGAGCCCACACACCTCACCGCTTACATTTCTGGCCAAGTGGGTGTATGACATCATCACCAATACTGTCAAGCGTTAAAAAATGCTAGTTTGAATTCGTTGAACAGCACGCTTCGAAGCAGGAAATCAGATTTATCACACCTAGTTTTTCGCACAAAGTTTGAGCAGTATTTTTCAACATGGTAATGTCAAGATGTACCGCTGTTGGCTCGATAGTCACTGGTTGTATTATGCTGGGTTTTGCTCTCATCACTGTGATCTGTGGCGCAGTCTCAGCGAGCAAGTTGTCAGGCGAAAGAGCTGCCACGGCTGGTTTGTGGTCGCTTTATGTAAGTATTTGAGAACTAACCATCAGTTCTTAATCACGACTTTGCTTAAATTCCGTCGCGCCTACAGGCAGAATTTGCAAATTTTGTTCACAAAATCAGCGCAAAATTCCTTCTAGGGTAAAAATATGGGTGAAAAATAATCAGATTGCGCTCTCGGAATCGTCTTTAATATGACGATCACCCTTCGTTTAGCTGGTGAAAGGCGACACAGTTATACAGCTAATTCAATCAGGGTTGTGACCGGTTGTCCTTTCAAAAACTTAAACTCTGAGCACACTTTTTAATCCCTTAAAATCAGAAAATTACCTTGCAGTATGTTTTGCAACGTGAGGCTTCTATATAATTATGTCATGGATATTCTTGCAAAGCCAAATTTCCAAGTGTAACAAGCCTATATAAATTAACAAAAAACCATGATCCCTTGAGCACTCAGAGTTTAACGTGTATGGTTTTGGAAGCACAACGTTAATTGAATCAGCTGTATAATATATTATCGATATATCTATAAACTATCTAAACCCGGAAGAAGACGTGTGAACGTTTAAACCCAAAGGCCATCATCATGAAAATAAGACTACATGCCAAAACGGTTTCGAAGTTGAAGCTAAATATTTAACATATTGAGCATAATTATTCTCCCATAAATCGTGTGGAGAGGGCATCAAAATCAATAAACTAAATGATTTGGCCTTATAAAGTGTGCGGTTATAACACACTAATTTTCCCGACCACGGTTCAGAGATTTTCAAGTAGCTACAGTTGATGCAATAATAATGAAATACTTACTCCGTTGAATTTCAAGTATTGTCGCGCTGAAATATTCGTATGACAAATATACGCCAATACACACACGAGAATAATGAGAATTTTTATCAGAAGCAGTTCTAAACGACCTTAAAACGTAGTGCATGTCAGGCAGCCTTTTTATTTCAGCATTTTTGTGGATTGTTTTGATGTGTTGTCTGCACAATAGCATCATAATTGTATAGTGTAATAGATAAGAAATTTATTACCTTCTATAGTGCTTCGTATAACGAGATTTTGAGTTCTTAATGTACTATTCTATAGCGGTAGTTTCAGGAACTTCATGAACATTCTTTGTAACAAACGTGCAAGCAATTTTAAGAGCTGATAAAACCCCGAACTTTATTCACGACACAGTCGGCGACTTTTACTCAATAACAATTGCTACCCCGTTGTTGCTTGCTTATAAGTAATTAGAATTCAACATCTTCATGACTAGCTGAGTGACTGATGTTTCAAAAAAATTATATTGAAAGGGCAGCGTGACAGCTCGTTTTAATAACATTGCATCACTGAATGTGATACAACGACTAAGTGGATAAAAACTCTTCTGGACGTTTCGATAAGCATAATCATAATTAAGCATCAGAGCTATGTATTCTTTGTATAATTGCTTGGAAAACCGATTCGTTAAATAGGCGAACTTCCCAGATAGCTTCGCATCAAATGTAGGATAACGACTGTCTAAAATAGGGCGCGGACAAAAACACTTCTCAAGTTTCCTATAAGACACAGTATAACCTACTACGGAAGAAAAATGAGGAAAAAAACTCGAGAAAAATGTCGCCTATTGGAAAACCGCATAAATGGTGAGTTTCTGTAGATAGTCCTGTAGTGTACATCTGAATGAAGACTTCACAGAAAGTCATTCGTTTGCGGTCTTTCTAGGGATGAATTATTCATGCCGGCACTATTGAAGAATATCCATGCTTTAATGGCAACGAACAACTCTCATCAACTATAGCCGGATAAGAAAAAACCTCCTTAGAAACTGATTACATTCCAGATTCCACCATGCATATAAAGGCGTCCTAAATTTGCGGAACATTACCAGCATGTTGACAAATAGCTGAAAAATTTCTTGCGTTCAAATTATCACGCAAATTTAGGCTGCCTATGTTTCCACCGACGATAATAATGTGGCACTCGATATAAAATATTCTCGTTTTAGTACGCTGTGCCAGGAATACTCACTATTGCCGCTGGAGCCACCAAAAAGAGCATTGTGGTAAGAGGGAAGCTTTATTCCTTTTGGTTTAGACACAGGATAACATTTGATCAGTAACATGCGTGTAGCTAAACGCCTTTAAGTATATAGGTCCACCTCTTACGAACCGTAATTAGGGACCTTAAGCATGTAGGACGGCAACACGACGACGACGCGGCTGAAATTCTCTTTTAAATAAATGCTATGGCAAAGTTGTTGTTGTATATTATTAATTGTATCGATTTAGTAAGTATAAAGCGTTAAGAACATTGTGTTTATGTTTAAAGACAATTCTAACGAGCCTCATTCGAGGTATAGGGCTCGCTGGGTCCTGAAATGCACCCGTTTAGGCAAGACGTAAAAAACCACGTTTTCCGGTTGTAAACAGAACGAAGACGACTTCTAAAACCCATCATGGTCTTTAATTATTCATTTCTTTTCAATGATCTATTGTATTGATAGCCGTCGTCGTCGCGTTCGCGTCCTACTTGCTTAAGGTCGCTATTGTGGCCAACATTGCGGACAAGCATCAGCTTATTAGCCAAAAGAAAATTCATGCATTGACGTGCCAATATATTTAGCTTAATTAGTTCAGAATTTGTCACTTAGAGAGTACGACCTCAAAAATTGAAATCCTAATGAAATATTATTGGTCGTTTCCTGAAAAGATGGCGTGCCCCAAACGTATAGTAAAATCGCAGTTTGATCATTATTAACAGTTATTCGCCGAAGGTGTACCTCATCTAAATAATTAATGCAAAATAAAGATAAGCAATGTTCTTTAGCGCAGATTTTTAATTTTAACTCCATGTACTGGTTCTACGCCTTATTTTCTCTGAAAAAATTTGCTCAGGTGATCATCGTTAACAATCCGTGTCGATTGACTAATCAGAGTCCGAAATTTTCAAAGAATTTTCAACCTCAGTATATAATTATATACCAATTATTATATCAGAGACTAACGTGGTGATTAGAAGTTATATCAGCGACTGCAGGATAAGCGACAGCAGTATAGTTTATAAATTCCGAATATTCCCGATTGAAATTATATTGACAAAGAAATGGATTTCTTATTTTTTTATTTCAGATGGGATTCGCCTTGTTCTTCAATATCATCGCAGTGATAGTTTCCATAGGCGGTTCGATAGCATTGATCATTTTTACAATTCTGTTAAACGAAGTCGTAGAGGACGAATGCACATATTTTGAGGTACATGCACTTGTAGTTATGGTGGTGAATCTGGTGAGTTTAGTACAGAACGTGTGAAATAAAAATGTGTGTTATAAAATCATACAATCAAATGCATCTATATCGTGCCTGTTTTAAAACTCCCAGAAAACAATATTGAAGGCTATATAGGACAAATTTCATGGCGAAAAAAGTCGACGGGACTGTCCCAATTGTTGATGATTTCAGAATCAAAACATTATTTTATCTTAGCATTTTTTATAGTTTCTCCTTGCTTTCTACAGGGAACATTAATTGCGATGATCTTGACACTCTTCGCAATATTATCATCGTCTGTCTTGTATTTTTCATCATTCTGACTGTCACCACCTTCACTGCATCAATCCTTGGTTGCCTGGGTACCTGCTGTGCTCCTGTTGTGAGTATCGAAGCCGTTAGGCTTTCTATTTTATAAGGCGAACGTTAAACACACATTGCCGATCTGAATTTCTTGCTTTTCTAGATACATCAGCACTAGCCTTTGCTTTCTCATATCACAGCTCAATATCACGTTTCATATATAAAGCGTTTATGAATCAACGAAATTGTTACACGCTCCAAGATAAAGAGCGTAGTTAATTAGAACACAAATTAAGTCCGTCAACCCAATCTTAAGGGGTCTCTATTCTCGCCGCTTTTTTAAGCGAATTAGGTTCGATTACAGCTAGAAGACGCGAGTACCTGTTGGATCTATCCAACGATCATAATCCTCCAATCTTCCAGCTAACCATGATGTGTACTATTTTATAGGACCCAATTATTGTTGTCGCCCCAATGCAACCTACAGGAAGTGCAGTTGTTGTTGCCAGCAACCAATCATCGTCTGTACAACATGGTTACCCTGGGGGCGCGCCGCCTGCTTATGGCTACGACCAACCCCAAGAATCCGGAGACAAGAAAGTCCTCGTTGATAGCATGGTCATTTGAATATGTTTCTATTGCCCTAAATTTCACGTGATCCCATGTAATTGTTTATTCATCACATAGACAGCTTATATTTTGTATCAGGCATATATTTTGTATCCCGCAATAAAACGTTAAAATGTAACCCTATTAACAATGTAACCGTATAACAAAAGTAATCATTTTGCAATCCTTCTTTTTTGACCCAGAAACGAATGAGCATTTTAACTTCTTAATAACATATAATTATGTATACCTTCCTCATTTGAAGATGTGATAAGCTATTCCTATCAAAGGTACCCAGTACGTATGCAGTCTATATAAATACTGAATTTATAATATACGCGTACCAATTTTGTAATATTTATCTTAAAAATCATCATTAAAAAATGTTTTGATACCGTAGTCATCTTTCAAGTTTTAAATGTACTCTCTTCATGGCCCTGCAGCGCTTCAACGACCGACAGCGAACGCCGAGGTGCCTTCTTTCGGGTGATCTCGTCATGCATGGATTTTGGCCAATCGCTCAGAGGGGTTGTGGAAATAAAAATCCATTCTGCAGTATTTAACCGATTATATATTTTATTATTCTTTTTAAAACCAATCGAAATTGTGTGATTATGTTTAAAAAGGTATAAGACTATAGCTCCGGCATAAATTTGGAACCAAAATTTATGCCAGAGCTATATTCGTCGCTCATCATCCTTACCATCAACACCTTCACGGTAGTATCAATCTTTGGCTGCCTGGGCACCTGCTATATTCCTAGGGTAAGTACCAAAGGCTATTCTAGTCACTTTCTTCCCTGAGGTGAGTGAGTGAGATGAAAAGCTGCATGTGTATATGCCATAGTAATCAAACCATGATGTATATTATCATTGTAGAAACCACTTGTTGTTGTCACCGCTGGCAGTGAAATTGTTATTGCCAGCAACCCATCATCGAAAAGGAAGCTGCTGGCTTTTGGTTATGGCCGGCCCAAAAAAATCAGGGTTAATATACGGTTAGCATCAAATGCGGTATAACAACTGCCTAAAATAGACAATATGTTCTGACAAAGGTACGTTTTGAATAAAATTCACCCGGGGTTTGCTAGTATTATTCGACGTTTATTAAACGCAGTGAATTAAACGCTATTAATTAATTAATAGGTTTCCTGAGTATTACTCAAATGGCTAAATTTCCTCTCATATTTCCTCTCATAATTTTCTCTCATAATTTTCTCATTATGTGATCCGCCCTGTAATATCCGTCCCCGAGGACGGGTGAATTCAAAATTTAAAAACTTGGGCAAAACGAATACTTGGGACCAGTGGCGTAGCCAGCCTGACGATTTTGTCCCGCTATGTAAATTTCGAGTTATTATAATTATTCATTTCTTCAAAAATTTATTGTTTTCACAGTCAATGAACATTAAAATATTAGCATAGCGGGACAAATCGGCAGGCTGGCTACGCTACTCACGTTGGTCATATTCGGCAAATTTTCTCCCGGTAAAGAGGGCTCAGTTTTCCAGCGGTCTTCGCATAAAAAATTAAAAGCTTTTCGTTTTACGCTCTGCTCTCAATTTTGTGTAAGTTGTCCGCTGACAACATGAGCCCGCACGAGTGGGAGAAACTTAGCTAAGTTGGACCAGCGTGACTGCTTGGGACATGAAAATTCTACGACTGAATAGTAAATATCATAATCTTACTTTTGTGTTAATTTCGTAAATTTTCATCGCGTTTTAGGCGAGTTATCGCGATATTTCAACAAACAAATGTCTCACTCAATCATAAAGATGCATTGTGGAAAGTATGATGCAATGCCTTATCTTTGTAGCGCTGTATCTTCGTTTCTTTTCAGCCAAAAGCGACGGTTCGCCCACCATTTTGTTTATAAAATCCTGGGGCCGGTTGTTCAAAAGCCGGTTAACGCTAACCCTGGATTAAAAATGCCTAACCCAGGGTTAAATTTTAAACCTTGGTTGATTTGCGTTGCACAAAGCTCGGTTAGCGTTAACCCTGGGTTAAAATTGATAAAAAAAATTAACCCTGCTAGCTAGGTGGGTTAACTTTTTAATCCTGGGTTAACTTCGATTCAAAATGGATGAATAAGGAGCTGAAACACGTAAACACGTATAATTCGTCATGAATTAAACACTTTTGAAAGGTTTTACGAATAATTTCGACAGCAAATAATTGTTTAAGTTTGACTTCGTTCGGTTTCAGCTGATGTATTGATTTATTTATCTTCGCTTCAATTCAATGCAATACACGATAAATGAATACAACCGTACAAATTGAAACATCGTAATCGAAATATTTGTTTCGGATGCTGCTTTTGATTGGCAGCAAGTGGTAAGGCTATGTTTGCTCCTGAATTTTGAATAATAAAAGAATGCCTAAAATTTTAAAATAGATTGTTTATAATTTGCTTAATTTTGTTTCACATCGACATTGTTTATCATAGAAAATGGCCTTTCATTTCGAATCTTTCCAAAATTCCATGCACGGAAATTACTGTTCAAAACAACGTCCCTTCGACCCTGCCCTCACGGCATATAATCTTTCGACTGACAATATATCCTCGTCGGGTAAAGTTTTGATGCTCGTTTATTGACCAATCGAAAACGTTCTTATATCCAATTTAGTCCTTAAAATACATTTAATCTTAGGTTAAATATTTTAAACCTGGGTTAACTAACCCTACCGCTAACCCTGCTTTGAACAACACAGTTTTAACCCAGGTTTAGCTAACCTAGGGTTAAGGATTTTAACCCAGGTTTAGCACTAACCCAGGGTTAAAATTTAACCTGCTTTTGAACAACCGGCCCCTGCTCAATTTTTGTACTAAATATCATACGCCAGAAGTACATATTTTTCTTAAATGTGGGAATTTGCACAAACACTCGGTCAGGCGGAAATCTCCTTCGGGCGTCTTCGGGCGTCTTTCGGCTGTATTTTGATATGTGTATCCTAGGAAACCAGATGCCCCGGAAATCGATTTACCGGTAAAAATCATTCAGACGACGTATTTTAGCTGATTTTCAGCCAAACATGTGGCTGTTCTTCGCAATTTTTAACGATGCGGTCGCATGTAATTTTGGGATTATGTTCAATCCGGACGGGGATAGTTATGAATTGCAAAAATAAATACATCAGATGAAAGATCATACTTTAAGCTTTCAAATGAAACCTTCTGAGTATTCATAGAGTAAATACTTGCTAAGATAACCTTGTGTAAACAGTTCTGTCCGGAAAATGGTAGAGACCTCGAGTACGTAAAAGAGTCAGCATTTAAGCGTTTTCTGGGAACTGGTCAAAGCCACCTTAATGTACAGGAAGCAGAATGCGCTTTCATTTTCATTATTGCTGGCTCTGATTTTAATGTATGAGGATTTTGTTGACATCGGATAAAATGAACGGCAATGGTATGGCTCATCATATCAGTACGTTTTACGTATATCACTTGCAATATGAAATTCTATGAAGATTATTTATTTTAATAGAAAGTCTAACGTGGCCATGTGACCATGTATATTTCCATCATGCGGTAAATTCGTGCACCAGCACGTTTATATCCAGCTGTGAATTTCGCGGAACAAGGACGCATCAAGAGCGAAGCAGGACGTTAACTCGCTGATAATATATTAATCATATACGCCTGGGGCCGGTTGTTCAAAAGCCGGTTAACGGTAACCCAGGGTTAAAAATGCCTAACCCAGGGTTAAATTTTAAACCTTGGTTGATTTGCGTTGCACAAAGCTCGGTTAGCGTTAACCCTGTGTTAAAATTGACAAAAAAATTAACCCTGCTAGCTAGGTGGGTTAACTTTTTAATCCTGGGTTAACTTCGATTCAAAATGGATGAATAAGGAGCTGAAACACGTAAACACGTATAATTCGTCATGAATTAAACACTTTTGAAAGGTTTTACGAATAATTTCGACAGCAAAGAATTATTTAAGTTTGACTTCGTTCGATTTCAGCTGATGTATTGATTTATTTATCTTCGCTTCAATGCAATACACGATGAATGAATACAACCGTACAAATTGAAAGATCGTAATCGAAATATTTGTTTCGCATACCAAAATTTGATTCTTTTGATTGGCAGCAAGTGGTAAGGCTACGTTTGTTCCTGAATTTGAATAATCAAAGAATGCCTAAAATTTTCAAAATAGATTGTTTATAATATGCATTGCTTAATTTTGCTTCACATCGCGACATTGTTTATCATACAACATTTGCGAATTTCGAATCTTTCTAAAATTGCATGCACGGAAATTGCGGTTCAAAACAACGTCCCTTCGACCCTGCCCTCACGGCATATAATCTTTCGACTGACAATATATCCTCGTCGGGTAAAGTTTTGCCGCTCGTTTATTGACCAATTGAAAACGTTCTTATATCCAACTTAGTCGTTAAAATACATTTAATCTTAGGTTAAATATTTTAACCCTGGGTTAACTAACCCTACCGCTAACCCAACTTTGAACAACACAGTTTTAACCCAGGTTTAGCTAACCTAGGGTTAAGGATTTTAACCCAGGTTTAGCACTAACCCAGGGTTAAATTTAACCTGCTTTTGAACAACCGGCCCCTGGATTTTCGCGCAAAGTTTTTCAACATGGCAATGTCAAGAAGTACCGCTGTTGGCTCGATAGTCACTGGTTGTATATTGCTGGGTTTTGCTCTCATCACAGTGATCTGTGGCGCAATTTTAGCGAGCAAGTTGTCTGGTCCTGTAGCCGCCTCAGCCGGTCTGTGGTCTGTTTATGTAAGTATTTGACAACCGCATGCAGTTAACGCACAAGAACGAATTTGTTCACCAAATAGTGTCAGGATGACAAGATCTGTCTGGAAGTACGTGTTGACGCGAAAACCTTAAAGCTACGATGATTAATTAATTCCTATACAGAATACAGCGTGGAATTTCATTAAATAACCATCAGCCAGTGTATAGAAAAAATAAGCGTTTTCTCGAGCGAAAGTTATTCAAACGTCACTCTTTTCTTTGAAATTTTTAGATTGTCATTGTATTTAATAAAACAACACAACTAAGACGAATTAAGCTTATCTTGGCGTGTTCAGACAGATATGTTAAAATATGGACATTGATTGAGCCAAACACATTCCATTGATTCGAAAAAATTCAAACAACGCGTTGCGTATATAGTTACAATTCTTATTATTTTAAACAGGGATGTATATATAGGAACGGAGGTAGGGGTCACAAAGGGCACGTCCCCCCAAAAATTTTTCATGGGACCAAAAGTGCCCCTTTTGTGATGAAAAATGCCTTTCTGGAGAAGCTAATGTAGCTGTGAAGACTATTTTAAAATCGAAGGTGCCCTTTTTGTTTCTTACGTATTACGTATGTACCCACTTACACGTGCCCAAGTCGGCTTTTTGTAGAGCATAAATACACACCAGTATAACATCACACTATTGGTGACCTTGCAGATTTGGCAATCAAACCGTCCCTACGTAAATATTTTAGCTGCCAAGTATAAATTTACCATCCTTATTCATAAACCACAGCCCGAGTAATAGGGAATTTACGATTCATGACTGACGCGGCTAGGGAAGACGCGTTGAAAAGGCTTGTGTGATTCCGATTCAATGACGGAATTTTGTTAATTTCACTACGCTACGAACTTCAAGTGAATATAGAAAACTTTTTCCTTCAAAACTTGAATTTAAGTTCTTATCTTTTCTGTTTGATGAATTAATGCCTTTAACTGCTTTTTCTGTGGTATTCGATCGTTAAAATTAATCTCGTACAAATCAATTTGTTTATCACATTGTGGAACTGGAAGATTACTTAAAAGCATATCCGGGATTTCTGTAGAAATTAATAAACAACGAATTACAACCACAAACTCAACATTTTCTATTTCTTCTTGGCTAAACCTTTTGCGTTTCTAGTACAGAAGGCGCGAGGGCAATTTGGACTGCCGGCGTTTCTTTCTGGCAAAGTTAAATGTCGTACGTATTTAATATTGTCGGGTTAAACCCGACAATATTGTCGGGAAGAAGGAAAACTAAATATCTCGGCAAGTATTTGGACCAAAGACCCCAAAATACCACCAAACGATAGAGCTTGAAAAGACGATATAAATCGTAAACTCAAACTAGCATATAGTGATAAGCTGCACTTGTATTATAAGTCGAAACATGAGACAAAATAATAGGTTGCTTTGTTATCTCAAATTACTCACCCATAGCAACCATATACTTTAGAAATTCCGTATTTTCTCGGTTTTTTTGTTCTCTGTTGTCTTTAAGACGTTTGCATTTTACATATTATCATTCTGTTATAATTCTGAGTAATTTTTAGGGTAGGATGTGCAAAAGAATCGGAGAAATAGCATTTTATAAGTTCTCAACGATAATTGTTGCTAAGCGCGTGCTTACTGCGTGCTCGGAATGTTGTCATGCGGTTGGAGAAGGCGACAAAACTCCATGACGCCCTCCCCCTAGGGTAAATTTGACCCCATAAATCGATTCCTGAGATAAAATTGGACCAAGGGATCAGTTTTTCGGATTTTTTTGCCCGAATTTTTTTTCGATATTTGTATTATTGTGAAATAGTATTGCCGGCGATGTGATAATTCTAATCATCATGCATGTTTATATTATATAAAAAAAATCAGCAAAAATCCTCTAAAGGCTCGATTTTTACGCTAAAGATATCAAAATAATCCTAATCCAGTTCTGGGATAGTACCCCAGGGACCGGTTGTTCAAAAGGCGTTTAGCTTAAACGGTTATCCACCGTTTAAGTCAAACGTCTTTCGAACAACCGCTCCCTGTGGTGTATAAATTAATGTGAAATATTCTCGTATTTTTAGTACGCTGTTCCAGGGATACTCACTATTGTAGCAGGAGCAACTAAAAACGGTGTTGTGGTGAGGGGAAATTGTATATAATTTTTGCTTAACATGAATGCATGCAGCAGATAATAACCAGGGGCCGGTTGTATGAAAGCCGCGGATAGCGCTATCCACCGGATAGTGCATGGTTTTTAGTTTTAAAGCAAACAAGCGTTATTATAATTGTACTGTAGGAACTCAGCTAGAAGCCTTTCAGATCCATCTTTTTCATGTTTTCAGAGGCTTGTGCATGTTGAGACAATGAAATGTTTTCACACCATCTCCACACAACCAAATTGTGCTTATTTCGCAACCAGATTACAGTCATAAAATTGAATTAAATGCGTCACCATGTCTTAGCAAATATCAGTGATTTTACACCTGTATTTGTGTATAAGAATAGCGGTTTAAACAATACCATCGTGTAATAATTAATTTTCGAGCTATGCCATAGCAACTCCCAAGATTCCTAGTTTATTTTTTATCAATTATAATGATAAAACGTTTTAATTATTTGAATTTTAGATGGGCTTCGCCTTGTTCTTCAATATCCTCGCAGTGATTGTTTCTCTGGGCGGTTCGATAACACTGGTCATTTTTACTGTTCTGTTAAATGAAGTCCTCAATTACAATAACTGTTCAACTGCTGGGAATACCTGCACTTGTATATACAATAAAAGTCCTGGTGAGACAGACAGTGAATCGTGTAAGGAAATGACGTTTTAAATCATAGAAGAGTTGTAGATCTAAAGTCTGATAGAAAGAGAAAAGGGATTTTGCATCTGGCAGGCGGCAAGAGCCGATAAAGTTTTTACCATTTGAAAATAGACATTTATGAAATATTAGTAATTTGACTATAAATCGCTCTTTTTACTTTCTACAGGGAATATGAAATGCGATGATCTTGATACGGTTCATGCCATAATCATCGTTTGTCTTGTTGTATTCATCATTCTTACTATCACCAGCTTAACCGCATCAATTTTCGGTTGCCTGGGAACCTGCTGTGCTCCTGTGGTCAGTATATCGGAGTTTTTTTCTCTTTTTTACATATATACGCACGCGCGCATGCGCACTCAAGCAACACCTGAAATCCATTCATCGTTATATTTAGAAAACTTTGAAAAAACTGATAGCTATACATGCGGTTAATACTGACCTCTCTATATATATGTTACTGATGTGGTAAACATTTGGGCGATTTTAGATTTGGGATCATATGTTGCCCAATAATAATATCGGCTACTGTATAATATCACAATTCTTGGATTATCTGACCAGCCATGTACGTATATGACCTTTGCAGGATCCAATTGTTGTTGTCACAGCTGGCGCTCCAATGCAACCCACGGGCGCTACAGTTGTTGTTGCCAGCAACCAATCGTCATCTTCCCAACATGGTTACCCAGGAGGAATTCCGCCTGCTTATGGCTACGGCCAACCTCAAGCATACGGGGACAAGAGCGGACTTGTTAATAACATGGCTATTTGAATCTGCTGCTATTGTTCAAATTTTTCACTCACTTCTATTGCTTATTTGTAACATAGACTTACGGCTTAGAGGCTGTATTTATTCATCTCGATTATCTTAAGAATATATTTTGAAGCCTGATTATCTTATTAATGATATATTTCGAATCGAACATTTAATATAACGAAGGTGGTGATTGGGCAAACGTTAACATTCTGTCTTGATTCATTTATGCAAAGCCAAAGGCTTGTTAAATTTTAAATACCTTTCTCATGCAACAAAAAATACTAAATAATAACAGAAATAAAGTTCAGGAAATCATTTTCTCTTTATGGGACTCATTTTCTGAAAGGGATTATTCTGAGTTCGGTTTGCTACTCTTCTAGTTAGGACAAATAACGATGAAAATAGCGCTTTTAAAATGGATTCCCTTAGTCGTTTTGTTGTGGCTTCGGTGGACGGAATTTAAACAAAATGCCAGAGTGAAACAACCAAACCAGCAAAAAAAAATTATATTAAAAAGCAGTTGATGCCTTATGCAATTTAGCACTCGGTGACATATTTATGGGTTGTTTTTAAGGCGAGCGCTATCATATTTTATATAATAACGTTAAGAATTCAAACATTTTCATTGGTCGAGAGCAATCATTTATAAGAGGACAGACTCACGGAATGACCTCACAGAAAATTTTAACGAATTTGATCAGTAATCTCTTGTTTTATTTTGTCAGCCAATCACATTTTAGCACGTGTCTTAAGCGAGTCAATAGCATATCGTCAATCCCAGATCACGTACGCGTGATATCTGCAAAATTTCTACTTTGAGAATTTTCCAAGTGTTGGGGAAACTATTTGCCTGTTTAATTTCGGAATTTTCTCGATTTTATTATATAAGTGCACGCGAGTGCATGGTCGCTTTTAATTTGTTCTTATCACAAAGACGTCATCCGTGTATCTATCTATAACTGAACAGATAACGATTCAATGTTATCTATTTGTTAAACATTTCATGTAATTGGGCAATTTGTGTATGCAACTACACTAGTAGAAAAGTATATTAATTGTGTATTTATACCTCAGTCCAAATTGCGAGGCCACGAAACAATGTCTCATGCGAGCGCCATCACACAGAAGGAAACCATATTCGAACGAAATCACCCGGCATCCGCCATATTGAATATAAATACGTTGTCCGTTTCACGTAAAACTCCCGAAAAACTTCTACAGATATTCATTTTTATACCTTTTTAAATCTCACTGACATGCATTGTCCTATACTAGGCCCTTGTCGCTGCCCTGCGGCCGCTGGTTCAAGTCCGTATTGATTGAGCCAATATTATCAAAGTGAGTGATAATACAAAGAACTGCAAATATAAAAGATTATATTGTCGGTATAGTTACCGTCTTCACTTACCAGCAAAACTAGGTAGTCTTTTCCTATGTTGTATTTACCGCAAGCCTTTAGTATATGCCTTTAGTACACAATACTGTCAAGCAAAGTAGGTTCTTTATTGAACCGCCATATACCAAATTGTTTGCATATAAAACATGGTGCTTCTCTGCAGCAGCGCAGCTTCGACAAACTGAGTTAATTTATTTCATGTTCAAGGTGGTCGGATTTGATATGGTAAACAAAAACACAGTCATGCGTAGCTCTTTGTTCCCTTTGTTTTCACCTTTTGTCTGACCATTTGTTTCCTGTTCTCGTTTGGACTCTAAAGACCGTTTCATGCGTCGTATTGCATCACTTCATGTGTGCCGAATTCAAAACCATAGATAACCATCTTGAATGCCTCATTATAAGGAAAATATGATAATTATACTGTATGTACATGCAGTATACAGGGTGTCCCAAAAACTATTTAAATTATCCCGAAAGACTTGAATTGTTAGAGTTTAAATGCCTAAGCACCCTTTTGGGACCCAAAAGTGTGTAAATGTTTAAGGCCCAGTTCATACGTCGCATTTTGGTAGCGTCGAATGCAATTCAAACAGTAGATAATGAGATGATAAACCTCTCTTTAGGATTCATTAAGCATTCTTATACACGATGACAGTAATTCTTTTTACCCACAAATTATCTTCATTACCAATATTTTCACTTTACAAAATTAACATGGATTGCAATATTTAAATTTACATGTTCTTTTATATGTTCGCGCGAAAAATTCAACTTATAAAGAAGGGCTTTATTATTCTAATTTATGAAACTTGTCTAAAACTTGTAATTATGTTTACTTACGAGAACTACAGCTCTGACCAAAATTTCGAACCGAAATAAAGTGTATCTCAAGGGATATATTACGTTGTTTGAATGGAGAAATAGAATTTTAGTTGAAAAATCTTTTCCGACGTTTTCGTGTCATTTGGATTGTTGATACCGTTTACGTTAAAGATTGATAGTTGTTCTCCGCATCTCTGATTTTGTTCAACTCAGCATAACAGGCCTCCTCCGCCTCCTCGTTGCTTACAGCGTAATTCCTTGCCGCATTTCCTCTCAACGACTGATAATTATTTTCTCGATTCATTTTTGTAAGATCAAGTTCTTGATAAGTTGGATCGTCAGCAGTTACTTGTGCTTCAGGTGTTAGTTTAGGTTTTTGTTTCTAAACCACTTACGATGAGAATATAAAGCAAATGCAGTGAGAAGAACTCCAACGATCATTCCTGAACCCAATGTTATGACAATCACATGCCATTCGGTGCCACTGCAATTACATTCTCTTGAGACTGTTTTCTCTAAAATTAAATGAAAAATTTTCTTATACAAATCAATAATGTCAAAGAATTGTTATCCGAATAGTATATTTATATCAGCACGTTCGTACATGATAATAGAATTATTAATATCATATTAAACGAAATTTAAAACAGTTTCCAAACCGGCTTACACCTTTTGATATGGCAACAAAAGTGTTTTAAACCCTCCTCTTTGTTTGCATAGTAACCGAAAAAGCTTTCTGACAAACAAAATTGTGAAAATTCGGCGGAATGTGTGATTAGTATAGGTTATTTTATATAATTGCAATTACTTTTATTTGGTTGTTGACCTTTTATCACCTTGCACCTAGATCTATAGGAATTTTTTTTCATACATTTAGTTACCTGGTCTATCACTTGTCTTCAGCCTGGACGTAGGGTTCGTCATATTGGTGTTTACCATCGTGTTAAGTATAGAGTTCACTTTCACAGATCGCGTTGTTGATGACCGTATTGGCAACGTGTTCGTTGTTGCAATCGACCCTGGTATTTTAGAAGACGTAGTCTAATTTAACTGATCTCAACCTGCAGAGGCTATGCTTGCTTACCGAGATGATTGATGAGTTCGTCAGAATACAATGTAAGCATGTATATATCCAACGTTAAATAAACAAACTGTTTATTAAAACACTCTTGCTTGTAGAGCGCCTATAACTACAGTCACCAAACTAAATTGGGGGCCGGCTGTATTATTTCTGTATGGCAGTATACGCAAGCACTTCTTATGGGTAACGTTAACTACATTTTCAAACAACCTGACCCTGATTTTATGCTCCATAATTTGATATTCCAGACAGGGCTTTTTGTGTTAACGCGCGCAAATGATTTGCCCTGTAATAGCTAGAGTTTGCAAAAAAATCCAAATTTTTATACTTACTATTAACATATAAAATTTGGAAGCAGAAAGCTGTCCCAAATTATTAATTGCAATGCAATTGTATGCTCCAGAATGTGTCCAGTTCACCGATGATATGGTATACGTCATATTATTCGCAACTTCAGTACCGTTATGTAATATGCTGCAATTCAGGAAGGGGGGACCATTTGATGTACGTTATGCTTACAGATCCATCGATTACAACTGGATTATTAGAGAACGCAATAGTTACATCTGCGAAAAGAAAAGAAAACATACTGATGAGAATATAAACCGGGAAAGGGACTAGTTGGTGCTTTAATCTTATAAAAAACAAGTATCATATCGTGTACGGCCGGCAATTCCTCCAGAACAATTTAACTATGAGTTTGGAACTCAAGCAAAAGCGAAGGCAGGGGCGCCGGAATATCGATAATAACGTGGGCATATATTTATATATTTGTGTTCTGCATTATTTACTCCTTTTGAAATCGATTGTTTTTACGATCTGCAAACACGAATATATGAATATCTGCCCCCGTTATCATCGATATTCCGGCGCCCCTGAGCGAAGGAACTGAAGGAAAGTCCTTGTAGTCAAAAGCAAGTCCAAACCCCGATCGTCAAGCATTTCCTTTCGATATTTATCCAAAATATTAAAAACTTACAATAAACTGTCATTGTCATCGACTTTTTATTGCGTGCCGTAGGGCGACTCTCTCCTACACACGTGTAATTTTCACTGTCAATCTTTTTTACATTATGGCGCTTCAACGTGCTGTCTTCCTTCCCCACTTTACCAGCGAGGGTGCCATTTTTAAACCAAGTACATTTGCTGGAGGGTTACCATCTTCACATTTACATTCACACGTGACATCGTCGCCTTCGTTAACGGTTATAGAACTGGAGCAATTTATTGTCACATTTGGTTTTACTGAAATGTGAAAATGATACAACTAAAAAGCAAACTCTAAGAAGCACTTTGGGTTTGAGAAACAAGCGTAACTGGGTTGTCTGTGCCTTTTAATTCTAATCACAAAATATTCTGTACTCTTTAAATTTGCATGCAGTGTTTAACTTCACCTTTGAGTATCAAACATGTCTATACTTACAATAAACGATTATTTTGATGGATTCTTCATCTTTAAAATTTCCGTAAGAGTAGTTTCTGGCTGCACACGTGTAATTTGCAGTGTCTGTTCTATCAGCACTCCAGATATTCAACGTTTGTTTTTCTATTCGGAAATCACTAATTTTGACTCCATCTTTATACCAGGTAACATTAGCAGGAGGGTTTCCACCTTCACCTTTACACAGACAGGTGAAGTTATCACCTTCGTATAGTATGACGGGACTGGAACAATTCGATGTCACGTTTGGTTTGTCTGAAATTTATTAAAACACTAATTACTA